GGGGCCCCTCAGTTCCAGGCAGCTTCCTCTGGTTTCAAAGACTGCCAAGGGCCAGGCCTAGGTCCCCGTATCCCCTGCTCCCTGGCTTCTTCTCAGAGCCATCCACACAAAACGCATGAACCTAGAAGCCCAGAAGTCGTGAACCCAGCCTCCCTTGCCCTGAGTCAGGACTCCACATGATCTCTGAGAGGACATCCAAGGATGGGATGCTCACTTTCAGCAAGGAAAACCCCTAATCTTCACAAAGTCATCAATGCGTTCTAATACGTTTGGCCTGAGCTAGCAGAGGCAGCATCTACACCATCCATGGTGCTGCCTCATTTGTCTCACCAAAAGCAGAAGATCCAAGGTCTTTGTTTCCGGCCTGGCTTGCCCCCATGGAGCCCTCAGCCTTGCCATTCACTCTCCACCATGGACATGGCATCAGGAAATTGGGTTCTGGTTTGAGGCAAGATGGGCATGACTTTCCCCAGCTGTAGGGAAACCTCACCAATGCCCTAGCTTGAGGGGAGGGAGGGGGCTTTATAGAGTCAGTGCCTGTCCCCTCAGCAGGAAAAGGCTCACAGACAGAACATGCCCTGGAAAAGGAAGGGGAGGGGGTCTGCCTGTGATCATTCAGCCCCGAAATGATGCTTATGATGTTGGCTTTTCAGGCCATTAATTCAAGGGCTCCATGCCCCACCCCCATGGTGCTGCCTGCTCTGGGAGATAAGCCCAGTTCTATTTAACCCTATTTATTCCCCCAGAGTGTCCTTCATCTCTGCTAGCCAGGCATTTAACCCTTTGGGTACTGGAGGCATCAAAAATAGAATAATCTCACGTTGGCAGAGGGACCCCACCAGGGTCCAGGCCACAAGACTGATCCAGAACATAGTTCTAGCTTCATGGGACTTGGCAGGAGTCCTGGGAGTCCCTTACTGCTCCTTCTCAGGCACCCCAGGTACCCAAGATGGTGGGACCTTGTGTGGCCAGGGAAGACAGCCCCCACCTCCCCTCTCAGGACAGGCATCAGGGACAGCTCCTGCTTCCTCGCCACACATCCTCCCAGTCCCCATATTCCTACACACAGATCCGGGTTCTGACATTGGCCAAGAGGAAGGCTGTGGCATCTCTGTCTCTTTTGTGCCCTGCTGGCTGCTGCCTCTGCCTGGCATGTCCTGCTCTGTCTCCCTGCTGCCTCTTCTAGCATGTTCCTTTCCATGTCTCCTCTGTCCCTTTCGTCTCTTTGTTCTCTCCTCTTTTCCCCTTCAGTGATCACATAGGGGTGGCCTTGCCTTTGTGGCTGCCTGACTATTGGTCTCTGTGAATCTGTGTGTGTGTGTGTGTGGTGCTGTGTGTGTGTGTGTGTGTGCATGTGTGTGTGTTCCTGTGTCTGGGTGTCAGTGTGTGTATGGGCTGGCCTGTCTCTGACCTGTGTGTTGCTCTGTCAATCTGTGTGAATCTGCCAGTGTACTTGAATCTGTGGGTTGGTCCTCATTTCTTTGTGCATCTGTCAGCTGGCTGGTCATTCTCTGTGTGTGAGTGTATGTGTGTATGTGTTTTGACTTAGGAAGCCAGGCTGCTGCAAATTCCTCTCATGAGGGTGCCCCTGGAGGAGCTGTAGGGAGAATTTGGAGATTGATGGCTTCAGTAGAGCACAGCCCAGCTCATTACCAGCTAGGTAGGTCGTCCTGTTTATCTTGGGAGCCTGCCTGCCTTCAGGTCAGCCCAGGATGGGAAGGGGTGAGGACAGGGAGGTGGGGGCAAAGCCAGAGAGTGTGCACTCAACTCACTTCAACTCTCAGGGCCAATCACAGGCTTTTTCTTGTATACTCACTTTCCCCCAGACAATGAGCAGCAGCCACTGGGTATAGCAATAACCACAAAAATGATACCAAAATAACTGCTACCATGTACTGGGCACTTAGCATGTGCCAAGAATTTTATAGACACCATCTCATTGAATCCCCTCAATAACTCTAGGAGTCTGTTGCTATTATCACATTTTAGGGACGAGGAACTGGAAGCTAAGAGATGTTAAGTAAGTCATCAAATGTCACACAGCTTATACATGATGGAGCAGGATTTTCCAGTAAGGGATGGGCTGCTTGGGAGCTTGCCATCTCGTCCTTCAGCCTGGGAAAAGATATTTACTGCAAACAACAGGAGAGGAGAGGAACAGAGGTGTTCCTCCCCAAACTGCTCACATTTGATTACAGCCAGAAGGACTGGAGTCTGATTTTGAATTTCATCACTTTTGACAGTGGGGTGGCCAAACACCAAACAACCAGGGAGAGGAGATGGAAGGACAAGATGATGTCACGGAGGGGAAGGCACATTGAAGCAGCATCAGGGTTCCGGGATCCTAGCCCAGCTCTACCCTGGACTCTGTGTGACCTTGAGCAGGACATCTTCCTACTGGGCCTCAGTTTGCTTATCTGTCCAATGAGAATGAAAACGAGGCTCTGTTGGGATGTTTTAGGGATGGTTTAAGCATTACAGAGAGGGTGATTGGACTGAGTGCTCTCTGAGGTCCCCACCCTGAAGAACTGAGGTGGGGAACAAAGATAAGGACTGTGCCTGTGTCATCTTCAGCTAGAAGAGAATGCCATGCACAACAGGGCTTTGAGGAGGTTTGCTAAATGAATGAGTAAATGAGTGAATGAATGACACCATTTCTCACTACTCAAAGAACTTTACAGCCCATCTTCGGTCCTGCAACAGTGAACATCAGCAGGGGAAAGGAAAGAGAGGGTAAATACTCTGGATCCTCATAAAATCCACACACGAATAGGCAATGACCAACTGATACCTATGTGTCATTGATTCACTTGTTGGAAGGCATCGATGACCTCTTCAAATCTTGGTGTGTATGGGGGCACTAGGGAACTCTAGTCTCTGCCCAGATCATCTCCTGTGCAGCTAAAGAATTTCACCAAAAACAGGACAGGGATAAGGATTAGGAAGTAGAGATCTTTGTGTATAGGAATCTGTAGCAAAAAGACTCTCTCCCCAACATCTGGGGTTTGGGGCAGGAGGGTCTCTGTGTAGGATAAATCTCTGGGATGGGAGATAGGAGGGTTTTTTTTTCCTCAAAGCCTCTTTGGAGGAAAGTATCTCTGTGTTTTGGGGGCAGGGGGAGGGGGGAGGATCTGTCCTGTCTTTGTTCTGAGTCCTATCATGATTTGGAGGGTCTGTGTTTGGGAGAGGGTGCTATGGAGAGGTTTTCTTGTCATAGTGGCTGGGAATGGGGGTGATTCCATTTAGGGGGAGGATTTCTGTCTTGGTTTTTGCCAGGCAGGCTCTTGGGGGAATTTAAGGGGGTAACTGGGGAGGGATTATGAGCATCTCTGTCCAGTGTAGTGAAGGTTCCCTATCTGGAGAGAAGCTTCTCAGAGACTGTGAGGTGCTGGGGGATGGGGGGCAAGGGGTGGGTAGAGGGTAGAAGGGAAGGCTGTCTTGTCTTGGCAGCCTCAACTCGCTGGTCAAAGCCCTCAGGCCGCCCTACTTGTGCGCTGATTTGAGCTAATCTAGAAATGTCACAGGGGAGGAGGAGACTAGGGTTCTCAGACAGACTGGGTCTTGGGAGGGGGATCACTGGGAGCCCTTTTTGTTTCCTTCAGATTCTCCCCCATCCCACCCCCAGTCCACAGCCATTAGTTTTCTTCCACCTAGGGTGGGATGGCCAGGTCGCTGACGCAGCTCTTTACGGCTTAGGAGTCCAGGGCAGGAGCCCAGCTGGGAACACATGCAGGGACCTACACCGAGCGGCAGACCCGCAGGGAGACACAAATACAAAAGGACTCATACAGGCAAAAACGCAAGCAACCTCTTCGGGGAACACATACACACACAATCTAGCACACAAGCTCTGCGCACACGCAGGCTGAGATGAGCGCAAAACTACACATTTACAGAATAAACAGTTACCAAATCTCACCCTTGGAGTCCACTCGGATCTAGCCCATAGCAATATCTGATACAGTGTCGGTCTTTGTCTCTGGGTCTTTCTCCTACTCTCCGGCGTACACACACGCAACTCACTCAACAGAAACAGCCTAGGATTTCACGGACCCCAGCAGCCACGATGCAAGCAGGTCTCGAGCGCACCGCGCGCCTCCGCGCCCTGGCCCCGCTGCGAGCCCTTTTTCGCTCTGTGCGAGACACCGCGGCTGCGCCTCTCCGCGGCGTAGGCACTCGAAGACCCGCATCGAGATTGTCGACAGGTACCTCAGTCCTGCCTCCTTACAGACCCTCAAACGAAAAGAAAGCTAACAGCCAACCTTTTGCCTTCGTTCCGCACACGTTTGGGGAACTGTAGCAAGCGACTAGCAGAATCACTTCCATCTCGGCGTCCCTGGACGGGCGGAGACAGCCCCAGTGACTCAGACCCGGGCTGAGCCTTCTTGAGAGCGGTCCTCGATGCCGGATACTTCTGCCTTCAAGAGGGGCTTGCGACCCGATTGAAATGCCAGTGATGGGTGCCAGGGAGACAGATCGATGCCCAGACGGCCCGCGCCGCCGGAGACAGGTAACTGTCCTTCTGCCTTTCTGGGTGTCTGGGCCAGTCCTTGGCCAGAGGATCTGGGGCCGAAAGGCTCCCGGACTCTGGAGGGGGTATCAAGGGACGCGGGACTTACAGAATCTGCACTCTGGATCCCCCTCCCTCTCCCTGCTGCGGAGAAGTGGGAGGGGCCAGGATCTGAGTTTAGCACCTCCCCCAGAAATGCAGCACTCCGGCAGCTATCCCGCCCTCCGTCGCGGGGTCCCTCCTGCTCCCTTCCTGTTGGCCCTTCTCCTGTCCCCATCCCAGTTCTCCGGAGTCCTCCGGTGCCCCTTTCTCTTCTCCTTGCCCTCTCCTAACGCCTCCTGCCTCTCGGAGGTTCTCCCTCCCCATCTTTCCTCCCGCCCTCGCCTAATTCCAGGGGGCGGGAGCGTATTAGGCTGCGCACGGGTGGGGGCGCCTCGCCGGCTTCGCGTAGCTGCTCTGACGCCGCCGCC